CACAGCTACCGCTACGTGTTTTAGTTGAAAGTTCGCAGCCACGCCTACCCCATCTCAGGGATTTCGAGTGTATGTAGTAGGCTATTCGTAAAGAAAGACTTGATACGAGGGGCAAGGGACGTGTTTCATTTGTCTGCGCCACAATATAAAATTGCAGGGGGCACAATAGGCGGAGCGTTAAGTTTGTCCATAGTTCCATGAAGTTCAGAGGCACGCTCCACGCTGATCATGTGGGTGGGGTCTTATTGCGACAACATTTACTATACTATACTATGAGTAATCCATATGTGACCAACCATGATTCCTGATTTCTTAGAAATTTACTCACAAGAAAAGGCTTACAAAGAAATCTAAATGCCTTTTTTCATAATTATCTTGTTTGTGGAAATATTTTAATTTCCACTCTTTTTCGACCATGGGTACTCGGGGGCATTTCAAAATTCTTCCCACTTTCGCGGCTTACTTTTCCTCCGAGCCATACTTAAGTCTCAGGGCATGAAATAGGTTAATTAGGTGCGTTTTCGCTTCGAAAAATCAAATCAGTGACTTGTAAATAAACCGAACTTAATTTGCCTACCTCAAATAAATGCAGATAGTTGAGGAGTTTATAGAAAATTTCTGCTGTCCGGTCTTTATCTGTGGCCCTCACGGTAATAATCGTGCGATTTTCCGACAAATTGTTCACATTTACGGTCGCAGTGTAGACGTCATGTTCAAATACGGGAGCGTTGTCGTTCACGTCCGTAATTACGATAGTCGCATTACAAACCACCGCATTCGAAGGTGATCCTGAAGACTAGTAAAATTTACAAGTTGTGCTATAAATAATAATAATAATAACAATAATAAACAGTAGGGAAATTAGTGAAATAGTAACAATAACCTAATTGCTGAAGCTAGCAGAAAAAAATAATTAAAGATGAGCTTCTGATTATGTCTCTTCTATGAGACTGAACTGTTACAAATACTTCTCCCTTTCCTGTTATGACTGAGTTTTGGGAACGGCAAAGGACGTAAACGGCCGCCGCGCGACTCCTCCGAACCACACCAGCGCCTGGCTGGAGTCTAATGAGGGGTGGGGTTGTTAACTACAGGGGCAAAAAGACATTTCGACCGAGTCACATATCAGCAAAGTTTTCGCAGCCCAGACAGAGGACGTGGATACGAGTACCAGGGCGGAAGATACCCAAGATGTTCCTCGATAAGCAGGAGCTGGCTCTCGCCCATCACCTTCATGTACACCAAAATATGAAGTCATCTCCAGTCGCAGCCTGACTGGAGAAGACCTTTGGAATTCATGTCACCTCCAAACAGCTGCGAAACTTCTAGTATGGAGTCACCCATGGATAGCTACCTGGAGACCAGTACTCTCGATCTGGAAGACCTCCATCATCGAGCAGCTCCGACAACGTCGCTACGGTCTAGGACATCATCTTCACCACAGTCGCCAAGGGCGCGGGCATGAGTATGCGACGGACTACCTGGTATGGAAAGACCTAATATTTTCTTCGCTGGATTCCGCTTGGCATCCGCCGAATGAAGTTGAGCGCCGGCGGCCACATCGAGCAACGTCGGAGAAAGAATATCCTCACCACATGTCGTTTCGCCCTTACTTTTTGGGAAACGTTGTTTTGGGGCAGGATTGGATGACCTACAAGGAATCGAACGGGGGTTGCGGAAAACTCTTCGCCTACTTAGCGAATTGTAAGAGAGACCTTTGCAGTACCTTGAAAGAAGATTGGAATATCTAAGCAGGCCATCTGTACTAAACCACGCCAATTACCTATTTGGGCAGTTCAATAGGGTGGTCTACGGTGGCGGAGAAATCGACTATCTCGCTGATCTCAGGCACCACATCGCGGTCGCGTGCCAGAATCTCTCGATGGCGCTCGTCCAGAAGGCTGTGGTGGCGGAGTGTCATGATAGTATTTAATATGCTCTTTAATATGGTGGTAAAATGTCCGATCAGAATTTTAATGAAGTGTAACTTATAGCGCCTCGAAAGTCAATGAAGAAAAGTGACTTTTTTTTGCCCCCCCCCTGTAGAGGCTACCCTCCCCTCGTTCCAGCGATACCCAAGTTTTTCTATGCGCATATTCAGTTCACATGTTTCTATTGCTATGTTCATATTACTACTACTACCTATATACTTTAGCAACATAAGACCCTAACTCGGCGGACCGGACAATAGCCCTTTGGCTTGAGACAAGGAATAATAACAAGCATAAGTACGCGATTTCTGCTCGGTCGGAGTGTTAACTCACCGTGATCATAAACCTCATACTTGAAATCAATCTCTGTCACTTCTTCCGCGTCGAATATCGTTGCTGTCGTGATCTGAAAAGAAAGGCCACACAACTGAGTGGTTGATTCAATATAAGCATCAAAAGTTGACGTAGAGTTGGCCGAGTGTCTTTTGTTGGTGTGCCCTTCCTTGTGATAAGGTAAGGGCGCAGAAATGAAAAAGGAGCAACGGTTGGGGTTTCCGCCTATCCGCCCCACTCAATCGGCTATCGAGGAGTGCAGTGTTCACAACAATTCGCTTGGGCATATATGAAAACTGGCATAGTGGGAAGGAAAAGAGGTGCCCAGACGGACAGAAAGTCGTTTTTCCGCCCACAATTGATAGAATAAGGTCCCAAGGGCTCCTCGGACACGCCCCAAACAATCACTCCACTTTCGATTCGTTGTGTGCTTCATCTATCGTTTTGTTTCGCTGATTTCTAGTCCGCAAGAAAAATATGCGAAACTCTGGCACGTGCGGGGCTCAGAAAAGTCCCGAAAAAAGGTCCTTCTCAGGATTTGGCATTGGGTCGTTGATTTGCGATAGCCCACGACTGCGCGTCAGCAATAGTCGAAAGTGGCCCTATTGGAGAGCAATACCGATCAAGCGTACACTTCTGCCTAAGCTTTGTCACGGACAGATCCCCTGGATACCGTAGATGCATCCTGAAGTCGCCCCGTAGTGACAGGAAGGTGCAGGGGGTGGGTACTGCGCGGCGCCAGCCCGTTCTCCGCCAACTGTAGTGGAAAAACAGGGCCGAATGGGCAATTCGCAGCACAGTCATGTTCGCTGCGGATGCTGGGGCGTTTTAGGAGGGCCTATTTTGGGCGGTGCCAGCCCTTCCTCCACAATTGTGAAGGCTGGCAGAAGACTGGTGGAAGAACGCGCGCCAAACCCACTCTCCTTGACGCGCCTTCATTCCGCAGCGAACAAGACTGTACGTATATGGCATGTTCCAAAGCGTGCACATTCCTAGTACTGATGTAAACGGGTGCGCTCCGACATGTACCAGAAGGGTCTAAGATAAACACCTTATGCGGATGCATGAATAAATTGAATAACTAAGCAGAGGAGATAGAACAGAGTAATAAACAAACAGAGAGAACCGTTAAAAATCACTTCCAGTTCCACGAATCGGCGATCAAAGACGTTCACAGTGCGACTTATCCGAGGAACAGCTGTCGATCATGGCATTGCTTTCCCATCCAAGGAAATCTCCATGCTCGTGGCATCATCCCAACCGATTGGCACGACTCTGGGAAGGATCACAGCCGAATCGATAACCCCCTTGAAATACTATGTAGCCGGGTCATCCTCAATACAGATCGATGAGGACAGCGGAGTTGTGTCGACAAGAAGAAAAAGTGTCAGAGATGAACAGACGACTATTGTTGCTGTGTCGAAGACAGGAATCGCCACCATAAAGGTATGTTACTTTTTTAAAGACCCAGTCCACACTCATCACATGGGCGGAGACGATCCACTGTGGTGACCTCCGGGTCACTTCGGCGCCGTTTGGCTTGATGGGGGCACCAAATAGTATTCAGCAACGCTTGTTAGGCGGCAGTGATTATCGACGGGGGGGGCATCCTGCTTTTCATAGAAGTTTGCACCCCAATTGTAGGTACGCCTTGTTTTTCGAGTTGACACGTTTTAAAATGTGGCTAGCTCCAGCTTCAACAAGCCTTACGAGCGAAGTTCTTTAGCCAGAGTGAGATTTGTACCGGGAACAGGAAAGCTAATCATACATACAAATGCCCACCCCCCCGTCTTTGTGGCTGACGCTGCAAGTTCTTGTTTCTACAGTGGCTCACTTGTACTTCTTGCTAGTCACACAGCTTATACATCGCTCCAAGGTAAACCCTGTTAGTTAATATGACTAACAAAAGGGAACGGCGGAAATACAAATGCTGCCCCTCTGCTCGCTGAAGCGCGAACAGCGTCTGAGCCGCGTCTCAGGACTCCAGGAAGAAGGAACGCGCCAGCGAGGAAGGCCTAATGGTGTTGACTGTGCCCGCCCAAAAAATTAGCGTGGACCGTCATTTTAAGCCTAATCATGGTGTCAGCTTCTAATTTTCTTGTGTCTAGGTGAACATCGAAGTCATTGAAGACTCACTAGTACTACCAAAAGACTCGTTCCTTTTCGTCCCCCGATCGCTGTCAGCCGGGCAGCCACTGGGTAGAATCGATCTTGGTCGAGATGACGTTACGGTGGAATTGTTGGACCCCTACGTGTATAGTCGCGGAAAGGAATTACTGTTGAAAAAGCGATTGGATTTGGGTGACGTGAGTTGATTTTCCTTTCTTTTTTCAATCCCCTCTGGGGCCGAAAGTCATCTCTAGCAGGCTCAACCTTAATTACGTTGATTGCAGTCTTGTTCGCTGCGGATGATAAGGCGTGTCAGGCAAGCTGACTTTGGCGTGGTGCCCTTCCTCCACCCTTTGCGGAATCTGGCAGACGACTACACTTGATGAGAAACCCACAGGCGTCACTCCAAGCCCAGCCCCTCCCCCTGACACGCCCAAGCGTCCGCACCGAACAAGACCGTATAGAAAATGTTTGGAAAATGCGTTAATATTATTATTCCAGAGGCAGTATTACAACTGCTCAGCCACGATACGCAAGGGAAAACTTTCTTCAACTGTAACGGTAAGTTCACCGTTTTCCTTCACCCCTTGTAACTTATCATGGAAGCAACCCACGTACATATTATATGGGTAGGGTCTCTTGGACAAGTGCTCGTTCCCCATGGTACGCCCTTCCAATTTATCAACGCATAGGAAGAAGCACCATTGGGAAAGACGCAGTGCTAGAAGCGACTCCTCCCATAGAATCAGAGCGGAATGTGCATTAACTGAATTCAACAGCGTTGGCAACGCTTAGTCCTAGGAGGTGCAAATTTAGTTCTAGGAGGTGCGGATTCGTTTGAGATTTCACAGTTTTGGAAAAGCTTGCAGTTATCCGAGTTGTAAAGATATTGCCGTAGCCAGGACTCGATCCCAAGCTTCATAATTTCCAGAGAAAGTGCCTTCCTCTGAACCACGAATTCGCATGCTGCGTACCCTGAAATGGTATTTATATCTGCCGTAGCCACGTGGTGAATCAGCTAGC